ATTTGCATACCATTTTTTCCCACAGTTGGCAAATGGCGTTGATAAATCTTAAGCCTGAAATACAGTGTCTTGAACTTCCTTTTTAACTTCGAAGCTAAGCCAAGTTCGTGGGTTGCGGCCTTGTTTCATTGCCAGCCTGCAAATGATAGGAGATTCTGTCCCTAGACTGTAATTTTACCCTGGATATCTTAACATAGGCGGCATCCCTGTAATTTTATCTCTATTGATGTATCAACTGCAATTTTTCTATGTACAAATTTATCTTTTGCTTAGGTCACTTTCAGGATAGAACTGTAATTTTACCTGGGAAATCTCAAACTCAGGCCACGTTCTTGGGTGTGGAATTGTTTCGATGTATCACTGAATTGCTATTGTTGACTTTCAAGAGGTTTGAGATAATGTCTGGTCTCTTTATTTTCTTTTGAAGGCCGTGCACACCGGAGACAAACCGTTTAAATGCGATGAGTGCGACAAGACGTTCCGCACCCAACTAGAGCTGCAGTCTCACATGGGAAGGCACACTGGGGTGAAACCTTTCCAGTGTGACATCTGTCACAAGGAGTTCATCTCTACAATCACCTTTAAGCGTCATGCCATTGTGCATTCTGGTAAGGAGAAACACCGAGGAGCGTTAAGGCTATTGATTTACAAGATACAAGGCTACATTTCAACAGAGGATTGGAACATACGTTATCGACATGTTCTTCGCTTTCACCGTAGAGCAATTTTCATCATGAAAGTTTATGTATTTTTTTATTTCTTTTGTTTTGCTCCACGTAGGTATTTTCAATTGAGGGTCGAAAAACTAAAACCAAAGTAATCGCAACTACCAATCAGAACAATTATTGTTATTATTAACATCATTATCAACCAATGAGAACTCAGCGTTGAAAAACGTTAAGAACCAGGTTGGGATTGGGCGTAGTTTTAAATTTGATTAGTTGAGATGGTAGCGCGAGTTTTCTAGACCAATCACAGAGCGTGGTAAAGCAAAACCAAAGAAATCCAGGGTTACCCTTAATACCAGCGCTATTTTCTCAGCCAATGAAATTAAAAAGTACTTTGTTACCCGTGTTTTCCTACACATTTTCCTTCGCTCTGATAGGTAGTTGTGATTGCTATGATTTTAGTGAAAAAGTGGAAAAGCGCACTAACTTTGCTTGTTTGAATTTTTTTCTCAGGGGAGAAGCCGTTCGAATGCACCGAGTGCGGCAGGCGTTTTGCACGCTCTACTGACCTCAAAGTGCACATGCCCGTGCACAGCGAGGACAAACCGTACAAATGTGGCGAATGCGAGAAGATGTTCACTCGGTTTAGCACGTTGAAGGAGCACATTCGAACACACACAGGTACTAGAAGGAAATTTTCTTTAAATTTTCGATGCTCCATAGCAAGAGACATTGTTTAGGTTATTCGGTCGAACATCTCACATCCGGTGGCCAGGAAAAACAGACACACATGTAGGGAAAAAGTGTCTGCTTCTATGAGGTTAGTAATTTCGGATCTTTACATGGCTGGATCAGGACTAAATTCTTCGAAAGTTTTCTCTATTTTGTTTTCTTTGTGTTTTTGAACAACGTTTTGCCTATATTCAATCCTCTAAAATTGGCGGATCCAGGAGGGGGTAGTAATGGTTCTGGGGGTCCCTCTCATCAGACATTAATTTTAAAACTTGGTTGGCACCAACATCCATGCAATGACTGGACAGCAAGTAATCACTAAATATGAAGTCTTTAGAATTTACTTGTGTTGAACTATATCTTTTGCTTTTCAAAGCTGTAGTGTGACAAAAATTCTCTAATTACTGAATCAAAGTCGTCTGGATCCGCCTCCGTCTAACAACTTCGATTTATCTTCTTTTAGGTGAACGGCCTTTTAAATGCGACGAATGTGGTCGAGAGTTCAACCACAGGAGCCATTTTAACAATCATCTCCGGATTCACACGGGCGAGAAGCCTTTCAAGTGTGAAGTTTGCGACAAGGATTTCTCCCGCAAGGCTTCTCTCCGGTATCACATGAAGGTGCATAACAAGGGCGATGGACGAGTCAGAGTGCGGGGCAAAAAGGAAGATCAGTCTGACACAGAGGTCATCGATGAACAGTCACAAGGGACCACGACTGTGGAACAGGTACATTGACTTTAGTTCATTAAATCAATTCTCTATATTTTACGGTAAAGAGGAAATAAAACTGAAATGTTTTGTATTCATTTCATAAAAGCTCTAGACCACATTTTCTATTGGTTAATCAGTACAATATCCCTCTTGTGTTGCCGGGGGAACACGCGATAACCTTGTTTATCACTTACTCTCAACTCTTATTATTGCAGCCTTTCGCCCGGGTTATTAAACAGGTGAAATAATCGAAAGCGGGGGCTATTGTTTGATTAGCGTCAGTATCTGAGGAACTGCGCAAATAACCCTCCCCTAACCCAACATCAACCTTAGCTTATTATCAGTTGGCTGTTGTTGGGTTATGGGAGGGGTAGGTGCGCAGGGGTCCAGACACTGATATTGATTCCGTTTCTTGCCATGTGTGTAATTTCTCGCGGTGCTTTTTAACGGGCAGTTTCATCTGTTGCCGGGCATCAGAACGAACAGACAAACAAACAACTGATGTGCTAACTTAGCCAACAAAATATGAAACAATTCTTTATGTCTATCTGACTGGAACCATTCAAGAATGTTTTATAATCGGTCATGTGGACATACTTTGTATCTTTGAGTTCTCATCGGCTCATGGAAGTTTGGTGTATGTAACCACGCTTGTCTCGTTTTTTTATCGTAACAGACCATGTCTACCGTAAACATCAGTCATCTGGGTACAGATGCTGACGTTCAGTTGGCTGAGGCATTGGTTGCCGTCAGTGAAGCAGTAGTTGCGGCGGCGGCTGAAGGAGACGACACTCCTCGGGTTGTAGCCGTTGAGGAGACGACACATAGCGAAGAGGATGCTGTTATGCAGCAGGTTTGTACTTAGGAAACAGACTTACCTTTTTGAATTCTGGTACCATTCAATGAATTCATTTCAAGTCAAAAATCCTCTATTGTTCATGCCTTAGTATTTTCAAGAACGAAGCAAAAATGATTTTGCTGCTGGTTTTTAGGTATCATACTTACACAAATGAGGTGTTGCTTCATTCTTCAGATCAGCAGAAAATATTTAAATTCGGATAAATGTCAGTATCTGAGAAACTGGCACCTTCCCCTCCCCTCCCCTCACCCAACAATAGCCAAATGAGAACAAGATAGGTTCAATTTTGGGTTAGGGGAGGGGTAGGTGCACCCTTGATCTATACTGACATGGATCTTGAGCTTTCAATGATTATCGTTTAAGGTGAGATAGAACATGGAAAAAAGTGAATAAATAAAAAAGTTATTTCTTTGCAGCACTTGCAAGATGGTCACGCTGTCCAAGCTTCCATGTTGGTGGATCCCGTCACACAAGCTGCCGTCAGCGCCGGCATCTCCGCCAGTGATGTGGGCCAATCCGTTGTCGAGACGGTAGTAACCACCATGCCTCAGGTTGTCGACATACCAACCGCTGGGCCGGAGGTATCGGTTGGCGAAGCTGTGGGCATTCCTACCGGACAAGTGCATATTATGGAGGTGGCCGACGGCACGGCAGTCACTACAGCTGACGTTCAAGCAGCCATCGGTGAAGCCATGCAGGCAGCGCATGTGACTGTAGAGGGATCCGATACTCTGGGTATCACCGTGCCAGCGGAGATCCTAGCTGCCATGGCGGCTGCGCAGTCGCATCCTCATTTACTGATAGCTACCGCTGATCAGCAACTAATTCAGGCTCAAGTTGCTGCTGGAGCTGCTGACCAGCAAGCATTGCAAACGCAAGGTGGAGACGTGGTGAACCAGGCCTCTGGAGGTTCTACACAGTTGGGAGGCGACCTGCAGGCCAGCAGTCATGGTGCGCATCAGCAGCAGCAAGTGGAAGAACCCATGCAAACAGAGTAATAAGGATTGCGTGAAAATGCAATTGGTGTACTTGTGTTGCAAGATGAAACGGTTCGTTTTCAGTACTTAAGTCCTTTTGTCATGCTGGGGCTGGCATGTTTTTCTGTATTCATTTTGTACAGACATTACAGAACTTCTTTGAAATATCCGTGTGCCATTAACTAATTTGGATCATTTTGTAAACATTATAATCAAAACTACGTTTTACGCTTCTTGCGTTGAAAAGTTGAGTAAATACATGTATTGTTACAATATATTTGACCCATTAAGTCCAATAATTGTATTTAATTTCTTAATTGCGATCTTTATATCTGCGTGTAAATGAGGTTGTAGCTTTTGTCGTTATTGTTAGTGATAAACTTTTATTTGTTTTGAAATTTGAGTTGAAATGGCGTTCAATCGTGTTGAGCAGTGATTTTACCATCCAAACAAATTTTGCCTTGAAAAGTGTTCAAGTCCATTTCTGATGCCATTGCTTTTGTCACCAAGCCAAATAAAGTACCTTTATGACGACAGTCTAGTCTCCGTCTTTGCTGTTTTTATTTTTTAAGTTCATCGTTGAACGCTGAATTTCTTTTCTCTCTGGCGAAGCTTTTGAAGAATGAAGACCTCGTTTACCGGTCATTTAGACCAAGGGAAAGACCTCCTCTTTCAGCGATTTGCCAACTGAACCCCGAGAACACCATAGTTCGCATACATACAGGCTACCGGTCATTTAACCTTACCTCATAACTAAGACAAAATTTCTCCTTATAATATTCATACAATATCAATAGAAATCTTTCAGTGATCGTTATTGCGGCTTCCTCTGGCGTTGGAGCGAACAGTAGATAAAAGTGGGCTCATTAGATCTTGAACTGAGTCCAATTTTACGATCACTTTCTTTGATTGGACACGAAAGATCATGGTTACCTTCCTGTTCTTAACTGGATGTACGTACGCACTGCGGACCTATTGAAATTTCCCCACTCTCTTTCTGGTCAGCGGTACTACCCTTAGTGATACCTGCGCAGTGTGATCTGATTTGCCGCCAATTTTAATAAGTGTGACTAAAATTGCGGGATTCTTTTCCTCGAGAGTTGGTAAATTTTATGAGTAATAAGAAAACGTTAACTACCAGATAGACAAGTATGTGGAACGACACAAGTAAGTGCTTTCCTTGTGGCCCACCGTACTAGCTTTCTTTGTCCATACTTCTGTTATTATCGCCTGATAATGCCTCGCATTCTAGTCGTCGTTTCTAGCTAGTCTGGCTAACTTAATTGAATTTTAATTTTAAATGAACAGGTTTCTCTCAAACTTTTGCTTTACATGCACAAGTTTGCTACTATATTCTACTACGTATCCTTCGTTGTTGGAATAACGTTGTCTTTGACTACACCGTTGAGAAAAGCGAGCTGGTAAAACAGCTCCTCATTCGACTAGTTATGCAAGCGTTCAATTATACATTCTAAAGTGTTTGAAAAACTGTTCAGAAATTTATTTCAGTCTGTGTATATGCATAGCGACATGTAATTGTAGGAGATTGGGCCTTGCACTGTATCTCCTCAATGGTCAATCGGATTTTATGCATTTTATGGTGCAAGCGTTAGCTACACTGAATCGAACACTAGTGTCATGTCTCCATGTCCTTTAGTGTCACAGCAGAGGACTGGGTTGTTGTTAGGAAGCTAAAATTGATCTCCATCCTTGTTTGAGAGGAATGTTTACATCATATGTGGGATTACCTTCCAGACCTGACTTCATGTGAAGCAAGACCTCTCCATAAAATGTTTTGTTTCTCATCAAATGACTGCCATTTTTAGAAAAAGTTAAAAAAAAAAAAAAAATAAAAAGTGAGGAAAAAATTTAACATGCATTGTTGGTTTTTTTTTAGTGGTAAAGGAAGTTCTTATTCTAAAAATTTTTAAAAAATGGAGATAAAGACTTTCTTCTGAACAAGAACTGCATAGATCTGATTTTCTCGGGTGCATTATATTGAGAGCATAAGGGTTAAGGAAACAATTTTAACAAAAGGGAAACAGTCATATCCAGACTTATCTGAAACTCATGCACTCTGGAATAATTCTTTCTTGTCTTTTCTTTTGATTGGGAACAATGTAGTATTCTGACAATATCACAGTAAAATTCATTAACTAACAATCTGAGTAATATTACATTTTAAACCCCTTATGATTTACTCATGTGAGTTAGTCACACCAACCTTTTTTCTGTTTTGTTTCCTCTTAGATCAGTTTGGTGGTGGATATCAGGTATTTAAAGCTGTTTCTATGGTTAAAAATAATTTGATGAATGCAATAGCGTGTAAACATCTGAAACCTTTGATTTCTATAACCATTCAATAATCTATATCACTTGTGCCATTTACAGCCAAATGTTCTCAAGAGATTAAAGATCTGAGAACTCTTTGCTCTCCTTGCAGAATTATCAGTTTGTCTCACTGACCAGCTCCTTGTTTCTTTTAGTCAATGGATACTGGTTTTGGAGGTGGAGGTTACATGCAAGATGCTGGGGGATTTGGTTCCCCAATGACAGACTCCCAGGAAAAGAAAGTGAGTCATTTGAAGTATTTGCTGAATGATTTAACAAGTTTGTTGAAACTCTTAAAACAGACATGTGTCAAATGTGTTTTGTTTTTATAATTGCTTGTTTTTCAGCGCTCCCCAATGAGAGCTCAGTCCATCCTTCCATGCTCCATCAAGCAGCTTCACAGTGCAACATATAACCAAACAGAAGATGCCTTCAAACTAGGGAATATTGAGTTGAACCAGGTGTGTACTATTAAGAGTCCTTGTCTGTGTAGCAGATACATGCTGTAAACAAACTGCTTTATTTGCCGTATGTGTTTGTTCATTTTCTTGTTGCACATGTCTGTGATGTAATTCAATAACAGTTCATGTAACAATAGTGATTATGGATGTAAAACACTTAACTCCCAGAGGTGATTAAAATGTAATTTCTTCCTAAATTATTCATACATTATCCAGTAAACAGGTAATGAGAATACTCAAAGTTATCAGGTAGAAGTTATTATCTTAATCTATCAGCAAATTTGCATAACTAATTTCAAGGAAATGTGTAGCAGCTCAGTAGAGGGGAGAATTAACAATCAGATCATGGGAGGTAAAGGGTTAACACCCAGTGAACAGGGATTCTTGGATATTTTCTTGTAACAACAGCAAACCCCTCTGCATGCTCCAGCCTTTGGCATTAAGTGATTAAAGTAAGTATTTTTATTTTCAGTTATATTTACAACTGCAACCTGTACTTTCCCTCTACTTTGTATACACTTACAGGTTTCAGTGGTTGGTGTCATTCGGGATGCACAAGAGTCAGCAACTAATATTATGTACACAATTAATGATATGACTGGGGAGGACATCATTGTGAGAAAATGGCTTGAAAATGAGGTTTGATTTTTACTTCATCATGTAATATTGTGGTTGGCTTGATCAATTCATCAAGCAGTGAATCAGTTGATCTTCAGTCAATTGACCTATAAAGTAATCAACAAATTTACAGTTAAGTTTGTGGATGTAGTGTTTATTTATGCTTTTAAAATTTTACATTTCACAATTTGTTTCTAATTATTCATCAGAATGAAATTTTGATACTGTTGTATTTTTGATTAGTTTATGAAACTGCTTTTGATAGATTTGTTGAATCAGAAATGTTGTTGCCAGATGCATGTGCCTTCTTCAAAAACTCTCCTGTTTTGTGTTCTTGATAATAGATAAATCACTCTATTTGAAAATCAATAATTTGACATTTAACAATAAATAATGTATTCAAACAATCAAGCATAAATTTTTGTCATCTTGTGCTCCAGCTGCAAATTATTTAGTGAATCAGTGAAGTTTAATTTTACTTCCCTTGGCAAATGTTCTTGTTAGAATTTGAATGATTATTTTTAATCAGTTTGCATAATCAAACTGTTGTTAATAACTTGACTTTTAGGAAAGTGATGCAGAGAAAGACAAACGATCATCCTGCAGGTAAAAATGTTTTATTAAACAGTGAGTATACAGATACAAGAACAGCATTTTCTTCTTTAATAATTAATTGCATTTCAAGGGAAATGGCACAGCCTGCATAACATATAGCAAGTCTCAGAGGAGGCAGCACAGAGTCACCAGTCTTTATGATGTGAAAAAGAACTAAGAAACAAAACCAAAACGTTTTTTGCAGAATTAAGAGGCTTCAAGACAAGTTTCTTAACTTATGTGCTCATTTTTTTTCTAGGGAAAACACTTATGTTCGAGTAATTGGTCACCTTAAGTCATTCAGAGAGAACAGTCGCAGTTTAATAGCCTACAGTCTAAATCCTGTCGTGGACTTCAATGAAATTACTTATCATATGATTGATGTTATTCATTCTCACTTGGCATTAAGTAAGGTAATATACTTTTCAGTACACATTTTATTTTATTTTGATATGTTTCTGGGGAAAATTTATTCTGAATAGTAGTGCTGCTTGCTGTCTACTCTCTCAAGAGATAATGGCCCATCTACTGAGGGATGCTCAGCATATTTGTTTCAATGTTGTAACCGCCTCCTAAGCCAGGAGAGATAGGAGATAAATATATGTTAATTAACCTAAAAGTATAATTTCAAAAGAAAAAATATCTGCAATTTGTAGAAGGTTTTTTTTTTCATCAGAAGAGAAATGTAGAAGGGGAAATGAGGGACAGAGGCTGGACATGGGTGAAGCTTGACAGCCTGGCAACTAACAGAAATCAGTGATGTCCACTGGCTGAGACCTTATGCATAAATGCACAAGGAGGAATGACTACATTTTTTTCCTCAATCATTGACAGTCCTTCATGTTTATCATGCCTCTTTGTCAAATGGTTCTTCTTTTTACTTATAGCAATCTGAAATGACTAGTATGACAACTCCTATGAAACACACAACTCCTGGGCGAGGCTTCCAGGGTCAGATGACAACACCTGGCAAGATGAACCAAGGATTTGGCGGAAACATGGGAGGAACAAGTGCTGGGCTCAGTGGTATTCAAAATGAGGTTTGAGTCCAAAATTATGACTTTGTTCTGTTTTATTACTTAATATGTGGAAGACGCAATGGTCAGTGTGCTGGACTCTGGGTAGAAAGGTCTGGCTTTGAGACCAGGTTGGGCTAATGTGTTGTGTTCTTAGGCAAGACACTTTATGTTCATAGTGCCTCTCTCTCTCCACTCAGGAGTATAAATGTGTACTGGTAAATCAGGGGAAGCCTGATGAAATGCTACTCCAGTTCAAATGGGGGGGGGGGGGGAGGGGAAGGGGAGGTGTTGCTTGGAGTAAATGACACTGATTTTAATGTGTGGTTAACCATTACTTTTTGGAAGGAACAGCTCTTTTATTGTTTTCACCAATTTATAATTTTGTACTATTTTTGGGTTTGCAGTAACATAAGTTTTTTGCTTCAGATTCACAGAATGATTACATCATGCCAACACGAGGAAGGCATGTCTGTAGCTGAAATTAAACAAAAAGTTAGAACATCAGAACAACAAATCAGGTGAGGTTGGCCTTCACAGTGTGAGGCTAAGCATCGTTTAGCCAAGAATCAAGGATATTTGGTTTATGCCAGAAACAATGAGAATACTGACAGAAAATTTTGCAAAAGAATTTACACTTAAATGTGAATTGTTAGTCAAAACCCTGGATGGAAAAAACTGTGAAAGACTTTCACAGTGTCTTTGTCAGTGCCTTTACATCCTAAAATCAGTATGCTTATTTTATGTACTGTTTTTTATACATTTCCCAGGGTGCTGACAAGGAAAATTTGTTTAACAATCAGGAGCTTCTTCATTTGGGGATTATTCCTTTATTCTCATGACCTCAACGTTTGATTCATGGGGTGATATTGTAAGGAGAAACTAGATGCTGGTCACCCTTTTGGCTTAAATCTGAATTGTTACTCAAAACTCTGGGTGGGAGCAAACATTGAAAGACTTACACAATGCCTCCATGCAGCTCCTTTGTTTTTTTTTCTTTTTCTTCTTTTTTAGGAGTACTTTAGAGTGGCTCAGCAATGAAGGCCACATCTATTCCACCATAGATGATGACCATTTCAGATCTACGGACAGCTATTGAGAAGATTTAGGTCCACTTCCACTTTTCACTTGCTGCAGTAACACATGCAACCATAAGATCATGACAGACTACAGTTGTTTAGCCCAAATAGCCGAGATACAAAAACACTATGCTAGCATACTGAAGTAGCAAGAAGACCTCATCACTTTGCTATGCAAGTCTGTTACCCATCTTATTCCATACCTGACATATTGAAAAAAACACATAATACCCAGTAGACACTTAGTTCTGTTTTGTTTATTTGGTTTTTGTGTTCGTTTGTTCATGTATTTTCAGCATTATCTTGTCCTCATGTTGGGCAACATTTGATATCACTTAAGTGTTAGTATATTTAGTGTTTAGTGGGTTGTCCTCAATAGTTAAATGAATTTTATTACCTGCTGAAAATTTAACAGTGATAATCATGCATGAAAGATATGAATTCTGTTTTGTTATAGTTATTTGTAAAAATGAGCACCGGTAATGTTGGTACCCTTTGATAGTACCAATGCAAATGCAGATAAGCAAACAACTATCCAAACAATGAACGAAACAAACCTAACCTTCTTTTCAACAGGTTATTTGCAGTCTCTTTTAACTGCGATTTTTAGTCCTTGCAACTACAGTCTCAATTGGGTCACTGAGTTGCACTTTCAGCGTTTTTTGTTATTCATTTGTAATAATCATGCAGGTCAGGATAGGTTGAGCTAAATGAGTACAGAAAGCAAAATATTTTTCCTACCGAGCTGTTTGCCTAACCTTTGTACAACACAATTAAACGCAACGTAACGTGGAAAAGTAGATACTTTTGTCCCATATATACAGTAGTATTCAACCCTTTACACCCTAATATCAGTATGCATATTCTCCATACTGTTCTCATTGTATTTCTTAAGGTGATGTCACGGAGAACTTGTTTAAAAATCAAGGGCTTTTCTGTTGGGTGATCATTTCCCTTATTCTCATGGCTTCAATGTTTGAATGAACCGTGATACTGTAGGGAGAATTAGAAGCCAATCACTTTTAGGGATTAAAGGGTGAATTGACGGTTATTTGGCATCGCAGATCAAGTTTATGAAACCTTATTAAACTTGTCTACACTTGAAAGAGGGTTCCAAGATGTCGCCGGTTCCAAACGTATCTAGTGAGATTGGCTATTTCCCTTATCCGATAGGCTCTGAACGTAAACCTTACTTTGTCAAAACTGAGAACGGCAAAAATGATTTGCCAGTGTTTCTGCAAGTCTCACTTCCCAGACTTGGTCATCGGCTTTCTTATTTCCGCTCAAATGTCCAGTCACGTTACGTTTCTATTTTCATTTCAGCACAACGTTGGTGGACACCCTTTTTTGGTCACTTTATCCGGCAAGGATTTTCGTATGTTTCTTTCGAGATTGTATTCCTTAAATGCTGTTAGCTTTCCTATTTTCCTGTGAGATAGAGATCTCGAATGGATTAGATTTAAGACACTTGTTTTGCTGTTTGATATGCACTATGTCCAGTCAAGATATTCCACTTCCACGCATGGTACAAATTTGAGTAGACAGTACAAAAAACAGGTTAAGTTTAGTATGCGAAATTTTGCCCCTGTACGATTTTTGCATTTGGCTTGATGGGTAATGCTTTTCGTATGGATGCTCTATGATGAAGGAAAGGGTTGGGTCACGGAATGAAAAGAAAGGGAGAAGACAACCGATAGGTAAATGGTATGGGTGTTAGAGAAAAATGAAGAATAACTCATCCTAGCTGATTAATGATGTGTACTGAAAAACACTAATTAGAATATTCCACACACTACATTGAAATTTTACTCAAGCTGACGTTCTCTCAGATAAAAACTACAGGATCCTGCTTGTGATTTGAAACTGAGCTTGGTAATTCCCACTCTTCTGACATTAGATGATCAGCAAACGTCCTAACAAAGTACTCCATGCTAAGGCTAACAAATTTATGGGTTGGGATCCGCCCCAAATCTATATATGTATACCTATTTCAATCTTAGAGATTTAGGTATATCCTTTATTATGATCCATCAAATATTTTTGCTCACGCGTGGCTGATGTAAACGCAGCGTGTTAACAAAGTAATCCAGAGCTTAAACTGGGGGATATTCGAAGATTACCCGAGTGATATTCCACAATTTTCAAACCTCACGCCCGCTACGATGAGTCTCAGCTTACAAATTTAATTCAAGATGAGAGAGCGTTTTTTGGTTGTTACAGAAGAAGGGAAATATTTGTTTGTTCATAAATTCGTACCAGAGAACACTCAAAAAGAAAACTTGCCCTGTAGAAAAGAGTAAGCTGTTCGTAAACAATTTTTCAGTCGCGTTGTAAAATATTTGAAGGATATGAAACACAATAGCCTCTACTTTGCGCAAAAATATACTCGTATATTTGCCCTCGCATATTATATGTTCCTCGGAATTCACTTCTTCCTTATTATCAATTTATTTCGTTCCTTGAGTTTTCCTCTTAATGTTTTTGAAAGAGTACGAGGATATCGATGAAAATTATCTGTTCCTCACTATAAATAGTAAATCTAAAACAAAAAAAAATGTGAAATCTAATTTCCCATTTTCAATTTTCCGTTTCATTTTCCCATTCCCCATTCCCTATTCTTACTTCTAGTAACATCAGGGATTGAAAATAAAATTTCATCTCCCTGGCTCCACCGCTTCTATGATTGGTTTCCACTAGTGACCAAATGACCATGGAAAAATTGGAACTGAGATGTGCCATTGTCTGTCACATGTGAGTTGTGCTTCGCCGTCCTTTGGCTGAAATTTGCTCTTGTAGTTTGCTGACCTCTTCGACCAGTTGTCTTAACTTGTACTCCACATTTGCCAGGTTAGGTTTACTAGCATTGTGCTCGCCAACTTCCCTCAAATAATTTCCGTTTTCCCGGTCTTTTTAATGGAAATTTTTTATCACGTTCATTGCAAATAAAAAAAAAAAAAAAACAAGAAAAGCATCAAATCCCCACCTGTTTGATTTCCGTACTTACTCAACCAATCTGCGGTAATCATAATAATACAAGAGATCATAACCTCTTGAACAATAATAATAATAATAATAATAATAATAATTTATCACTGGACATTCCACGATGTGGCTATTCTTGTCCACTGTTTCCAGGTCGAATTGAAATTTGGAAAGTTGGTTTTTGTGGGGAGAGGAAAGCCGGAGAACCCGGAGAAAAACCCTCAGAGGATGAGAACAACCAATGAACTTAACCCACATGTGACACCCAAGCTAGGGAATGCGAGAAAAATAGAATACCTCTGTAGTTGGATGTTATTAACACGCCAAAAAAATAAAGAATAAAAAAAAAACGAGCTATCCGTCCAAATGGAAAGTGCATCACTCTTTTTCTGCGTGTGCACCCATGGACACACCTTACTGTCTCCTTTCCTCGTTTTGAATGCGAATCCTTTCAATCCGTTGACACTAGGCCAACTTAATTAAGCAAACTGTTAAGTATATCCACAGTGAGGAAGATCATTAAGAATCCATACCTTCTCTACTTCTCACTTTCAAATTTCCTTTCCTCACAGTCTTATAAATGACTTCAGCTGTGATGCCAACGAAAGCGAAACCCAGGAACACACACACGACGATGACCAAAAATCTATTCGTCTGAGGTGAGTGGCCAGAAAACACAGCGTAGGAGTCTTTTTCACTATTGTACACCTGGAAGTAAGATAATATGAAAAAAACTTATGGTTCATATTTTAACCCTTTAACTCCCATGAGTGACCAAGAGAGAATTTCTCCTTACAATATCAATACAATATCAACCATATAAGTGATGGGAATAAAGAAAAATATCAATTTGGGGATAATTAGTTGATCCAATTCTAAATTCTCTGAACTAATATTATAAGAATTGTACGATTGACAGTAAGAAGAATTACAAATTTGATCTGGGAGTTAAAGGGTTAAAATTTGGAACGCTTAGAACTTGGAAATAGCCTATTAGAATAGGTCCAGGTTATCAGGGCTCGAAAAAAAAAACATGAGATAAGCAAAACAAATAAACAAAAACAATCAAACAATGTACAAGGATATCGGTAACAAGTTAATGTCTCAGCAAGGAGTTGTGTTATTACCACCACTGGCATGAGATATTTGATAAACAGGTTTTCCAAATCCTGGTTGTTAATCCTGTTTTTGATGCATGACGCCCCTTCAAACAGGCTCCTCAAACTGTTGTGTACTGCAAGGTAGTATGGGACGTTTGCATCGTAGCCAGAAAACACTCTGAAATTCCTATCTTTCGTTGCGTGCAGAACCTCTGGGCTTCTAAACTTGTCCATGAGAACACCGTCTATTTCACCACTCCGTAGGCTGGAGAACATTTCTTCAATTGACGAAAAACCTATTAGGAAAACGTTTATCAGCTGTATTGTGGATGAATTTTAGTGGTTTGGATTTTTCATCGCTGGAGGGACGGAAGGGTTGTTTCTTTTTTGCAGGGGAGGGGGGGGGGGATGGTCGCACGATTTTAAGGGGAAACGGAGGGGAATTAGTCGTATATAAGAGGACTATAAAAACTGACTTCCAATACGAGGGGATTCTTAGATTATTACATAGCTGAGTTGACTACAGGGGGTATCAGGTCAGGTAAATTTTATTTAAACCCAACCAAAATCCTCTGACTCCCCCCAGGCACCAGGCAATGAATATAGACCAATCTATGAAAATTTGTGAGTTTATAGGAGGTGGGAAGGGGGGGGGTTACTTATTATGTCGCCTTTAGAATGTTTCACTCAAAAGCCGTAATTCCTTTAAAAAGGAGAGAATTTGTTCTGTAAGAGGAGGAGAACTTCATGTTGGTATATCAAAGTGAACTGTCCCTCAAACTAGTTCGAGGGGACGAAACAGCTAAATTCATTTAAAAGATCATCCACACCCCAGAGGCTTTGCGCGCTTGTGGTTTTGCCTCGGAAAGGTTTTTGTGTTGTATGCGGTCGTTGCTGATTAGCGTGAACACGAAATATTGCCGTCAGGTTTTGTAAAGTGTAAGATAGCTATTTCAATACACACTTTACCCCCAAGGTTTTGATTATATAACTGGGCTGTATATCAATTTAAGAGTGTGGTCCGATTTTTTCTTATATGTAGGATTGAAATGGCCTGAATTTTTTTAAGGCTTACTCTCGACAAATGCTCCTTTTTTTCTGGCCTCAAACTCTGCCGACGTGCTATTCAACACACCAATCTGAAAACCAAATGGAAAGTAGAAGAACACGTTACGTCCTTGTTTCTCTTCCTAATTTGCTCAGTCATACAGACTTAGTCTAAGGCCTTTTGCTGGTAATACACTCATTTTGATTAGTTCTTACCAATAGTCTATTAGAGGACAGACGCGGGGGTGACGTCACCATTAACGACATTTCCCTTCTTTGTTATATTAGACAGATAATTTCCGTGTTGCCATGGGTCAGTTTAGTAATAGATCACAGACGACGCCAGAACGTGGTAAGAAAATCAGTGACACATACACCCGGCTGCGCCTTAAGTGCTATTTGTTTGTCCTTAATACATTTTAAGTCATCTGCGATCTATTACTGAACAGACTCGCAGCAACATGAAATCTATTTGTTAAAGTGATGGTAAATGAATGTTTAATCGTTTTTCTTACGATTTAGAGACAGAATAAATTGTTGAGTCAAGCTATCAACGGAGAACCGCGACCTCTCTGCTCCTTAGTTGCTAGTCTCAGGCGAAATAATCAAAAGATATCGAGCCGCTAACATCCAGCAAATGGTCAACTACCCTTGATGCGTTTGTGCACGCCTTCATTGGGACATTTCGCCTCGATTTAATTCCGCCTCGTAGATCCGTTTTTTATTGACCTGCCGCTGCGTTTTTAATAATTGATCTTCATGCTTACATTATAGCGATTCTATTGGCGCTATATCTCGATGTCTATCAGCTTAATTCGTTTGGTGTCAATTCAACTTAACCCCAATAGTGACCAGCATCTAATTTCTCCTAACAATATCACTGCCTGATCAAATCTACAGATCATGAGAATGATTGAAATGATCACCAAAGAAGAAATGTCTTTATGTTTGAACAAATTCTCTCAATCGCTAAAATAAGAAACATAAGGAGAATGGTAACGAGAATATACATGTTGATATCGGGGCTTTAAGGGTTAGCATCCAATTTCAACCTACAGTATCCAAGCTTAAGGCCATGAGAATAAGGGAAATGATCATTAGGAAAGGAATCGCTTGTGAAAAAAATGTTCTTTTTCAATACCGCTGGAGAAGTATAGAGATCAGTATGCAAAATATGATACGAAGATGTGAAAGGTTCAGTAATGAAGCACCATCGACGGTCCAACATGCCCACATTTCTCTGAAGACGGTAACAAAAATGAGAGACAAAAAACTGTTTCACACACACATACCTTATTTCCCTCAACTCCTACGAAGCTATCTATGCTTGTACTAAGTGCACTGGTGGCTGTAGCTGTAAAGACAGCAACGACGATCAAACCAAACATAATCCAGAACACTCCAAATACGCGACCCAAAATAAATTTGGGAGTTTTATCTCCGTAACTGAAGTAGAGCAAAGACAAATCAAATTTACAACATTATATTCTCAGAATGGAGGTAAGCTTCAGTAAAGATAAAAACTAAACCAGACGTTCCTTGTCACCTTACCTAGAAAGGTTGCTCGTATTGATATCAAGTAACCTCCAGGATTTCGTCACAATCCCTGAGGTGTTTTAGAAACCCACTAGTTTTGCTTTCCACACATCTCTCCTTGAACCCCTCAAGAAACCGCCCAAAACCAATTCTAAACTTCTTGTACAATTTTTGTAGATATAACCCAAAAGCGTCGGTAGCCAACCCTTTTGGACCTTTTGAATTGATGATTGGATTTAGAGAGGATATTGGGTTCAAAATGATCATGAAATGCTTTGCAAAGTTGATGACATTAACTGCCTGTGTCGTACAAAACCCTCTAAAATGGACGTTTATCTTACCCAACTGTTGTCATGGTAACAAAGGCCCACCAAAAGCCTTCATAGGAACCCTTTACAAATGAACGGGGAAATTCCTCATCGTTGAAGTGCGTTTCCTGAAAGAAAGTTAGACACTATCTTCATAACTGCACTTGGTTATCTTATTTTATAGAGCACCGGGTTGATTGTCGTGCCGAAGATGTAGGGTTCAAGACCCAGGCGGGACCAACACTCAAGATCTTGAAATAGCTGATGATGAGAGTATGCTGCTATTTTTGTGACATCTGCAAATGGTTAGACACTCTAGTCTTTGCAGGAGAGGACGATAAACGTAGGCCTGGACTGTACTGGTTAGCAGGGGACGTTAAAGGACCGAAACATTGCTCGCAAAGAATAATATAGTGGCTCCCTGTGTTGTGGTCTGACCTTGTTACTCTTTATACATTTTAAAGTTCCCCCATTGTTATTTCCTATCTAGGAAGAGGTGAGGAAAGAAAGGGAAAGGCTTTTCTACATTATCCACCATATATTTCAATTCGGTTTTGTATAGTGGCTTGCTTTTAAATGAGATAAAGTTTGCTTTTTTCGCAAACCATAGTTCTTCTGTAAAAATAATTGATATATCGCGGTTTTTGAATGGCCGAGCAAAATTGCAACTTAATTAGATATTTTGGGAAATAGATGATACTTACCAGGATCCATATGACCATTCCAGAGATTCCAGTGAACACAAATGCAAATATTGTAATAGGCCAAGATTCTGTGTATAACTTGATAAGTGCGGCTTTGTTAGCTCTGACATTCACATTTTCTACGTCCATTATCAGCGAATAGCCGGGAGAACTTATGATTTGTTCAACCATCATAAGTGGCTGTGTATCATGGTCGTCAGGACGGAGAAGCAACTGCATTGGCTTGGATACTGGCAAGGCGAAATCCGTCATATTGTTCTGTAGGATCATTTGGAATTCTTTGCTCGAGTTAATAAAAGTCATGTTGAAGGCATCCTTAGACAAACCACAAAATCTAAGAAGACATCTGTGGATAATATCATCGAAAAAATCTCCAAGTATGCCTATTAATTCGCCTGAATCAGAGATGATGGTATATGGGGGAATCACAAGAATTGATACTGTAAATTGTTGACGAGAATGCGGACATCCCACAGATCGATCACGACTTCCTATCGTGTTCGTAAGTGCTGGTCTACAGAGCAGTAAAGTTATTGTTACGCAGGCCGCGAACATCATCTTTATCAAAGCGCTTCCTTTATCGTGGCTAGCAACAACTCCTTTGAAATTCTGCTTTCTGAAAGATAAAATTTACAGAAAACTAACCTCTTTGTAACAATGTTCAAAAGAGGTAGTCAGCAGAGCATTCATTAGCCTCCCTCCCCCTCCGTTTGTAAGACCCTGTAATGTCATTGGTATGATGCTGCCTATGAAATTCATGAATATGTTAAGCGGGGCTCCGCGAGGTTAGTAAGCACAAACCCATGACCATATTTTTCTTTGGCAGAGAAGTGAAACGATAAAATTTTCAGGGGGTTTTCAAGGATTTCAAGGTGTCGGCGGCACACCAATCCCTTCACATCACGCAAGAGGCGACCCCATCCCCTTCTTTGTTTTGATCATTAAGGCATCAGTAGTTTCATACAATTTTATTTGGTAGAAGTTATAGGTTTAGTGTTGCTCACTGAACTGAATTTACCACACAAGGACTGAGTGGTATCCAAATTGGAAGAAGTGATTCGGAAGCAACAGAAACATAGAAAACAACCGCAACATTTGTTCTAGTTGCGTCTTTTAGTCTTCATGTCAGCGCATATTCCTAATTTTTTTTCGGTGTTTGATTGTTTCAGATTGCCAATGAAAATTAGGTGCCAGTAAGGATTTTTGTACCATCAGCGGTTATGTACTCCAATATGGAAATGGTGAGAGGCTAAAAGTCTCAAGCCACAGAACATGAATAAATAACTTTCCCATCGAGTAGACCTAGATCTTAAGCTGCGAGCTTTAATCAGTATAAACTCAATTGCAAAAGCGTTGACATCTAAAAAGCGTAAGAAGCTAACGATGAGGCCGAACTGCTTTATGGGCATTCATGTGATAACCACTATAAACTATAGTTGCATCATTAGCTGCACGTGGTAAACGATAGAAGCCCTACCCGCTTTCATGAAAGAAAACAATCAACGTAAACAAAGATTTGCAATGAGAGAAGAATAATTTAATACTGATCTTGTAACTGTGCGAAAATTTCCCTTAAAAGCCGTTGGGTTTCATCGAAATGTTACTCTTTTTAAGTGTCAAAGTTTTTGTAATCGAGAGTATATTTGCAGTAGCAAAAAAGAGCAAAGGCTTATTTTCTGCCTTTGTGACAACTTAAAATAGGAGTTTTCTTAAAGTTTGTAAATTTATTTCAAGGTTTTTTCTTTTGATGATAAAAAGAAACGATTTAACGTCAAATACTGCGTCAAAATTTGTGTTTTCTGGTAACCGTACCAAAACAGATAATCATCTTCATAGCATGCGTTGTTAAATATATTCATACATTTAAATAATTCAACCGTCCGGTAGACTTGTGTTGAGAAAATTCAATCATCTATTATGTTTTCGGGCTCTAGAAAGTTCTATTTTCGTGAGAAACTGGCAGACTCTGTTTTGATAAACTAAGCTGTTCACATTGAAGTTAATCAAACACTTTTCCAGGGAGTCCCGATAGCCTGTGTTTTTGAAACAATACTTGTATTGGTACGTGTCTGTGGGTTATCAGTGAATGACAAAACAGCCGATCTTAGAAAAAGTTAATCGGGAAATGTTTGCTGCTGAGTGGTTTTCATCAAAGCTTTTTCTCAGTTTAAGAAGTCCAAGATGTTAATTCTTAAGAAATAACGTTAAAGTTAATGCTATGACTATCGTGAAAAATTAAACCGTAAACATTTCGAACTCGTTATATCGAATTCGTCCATGTTTAACCATATTCATTATATTTTTTAAGTTTTGTTATTACTTTGGTGTTTTATTTCACTATGAATGCAAATAACAGAGGTTATGGATAAGCAATGTAATTTTATAATCACCAAAAATAGAAAAGTCATCATTTTCAATTGCGTTCGTGTAGGTTTGTTTATACTAAATCTTTATATAATGTGAAGTGCGCGAGAAGTCAAGTGCAGAGGGGTTAAATACAACCCTATGTAATGCTGAAAGTGACTCTAAAGAACTTGATTTTTGTACTTACGTGATACCTTGTATGTTCTCTGAAGATTGTAGAGCCTCAAATAATTGTCTGTTTCGTAGCGTTGAATAGTAGATGCCTGCTCCTTACTTTATCAGCGGTGCACCTGAACATAATTTTTGCAACAAGTTGAAACTTTCATTTTTATAAGCCTTCAACTAAAGACGATCAAAAGTAAAGATTGCGCTGAGGAAAATCTAGACTAATCTCGATATTCTATATACCCTTCTAGCTACACGTAATAGTTTTTCGCTTTTAATACAGAATTTGACCTCCCCTTCTATTTTTTGTTAACCTCTAAAGCTCTGATTATCAGCTGTTGTATGAAGAAGACAGTATATAATTCTTCATTTTCATTTCAGATTAAAAGGCCATTTGTATAATTTCTTGAAACTACTTGGAGAAAGTTATGCCTTATCATGCTATCAAAGCATCTGGAACTATAACTCTATAATCAGATAGATATTAAGGTCTTCCCTAATAATAAACGTTATCATCAATTAAAATAAAATCATAAAAGCTGCGCATATCTTAACTTAACCATAAAAATCAAGCGTTTCTCGCTTCCTAAAACTTTCGGTTGATCGGATTTATCTGGAGAAGAAACATGCTGAAAGTGAGACTTATGGAAGCTAAACATAACTTTAGTCGAGCTCGTTCAACTGCTCATGACCTCAGCAATTTGATGCACGTTGTTATTCACCAAAGTAACGTTGATTCACTCACAGTTTATATCGTCAAAGTTTTTCAATGTCGCACAACAAACGATGTAGAAACGATAGAAAAACTGAATTTAGTCACTTTCAGCGCTTAATTCGCGTGATAAAGTTATAAATACTTACTTCAAACGACTTTTGTGTTATTTATCACAGTGCTCGATGATCTTGCACCAGCACTGAATTCACTGCCTTTAATTGAAGGGGAAATAGTGATTATTATAAAAATGTTCACCAAAAAGCATTTACATAATTATCTTCCTCGGTGCTAATTGGATCGGGATATAACAGTCCCTTTAGGGTATATTATCTTAGCGTCAAACCTCATATAGGGTATGCAAAAAAAATCCACTTTTCGTTTTCCAGCTGTCCTTTATGGCAGCTTTAGGTAGAAATTAAAAAATCGCTCATCGATGTATTTTGTTGTTTCAGGTTATCGCAATAAAAGTGAAACTCCTACTTAAAAGTTTACCTAAGATGACAGTCACCATGGAGTTAAACCTAAAGTTAAGATAAAGTTAAACTTGGATTAAAAAATTATAAAAACTTTTAAAATATGAAAAAGATGGTAATTTTTAGCTCAATCGTCGAAAAAAAAGGTGTTATTTATCAGCTAGTTGTTTGAGGCCAAGAAAAAATTTGAGTTCCCCGAAAGACTTTTCTTTGTTTCACGTTCGTGATAGATGTGTGATGCCTTTATGATCTTATCCGCAGGTCTGAGTTCGATCTATCGAGGAGGACTAACTTTCGTCCCATTCTCGCCTTAAGTGAATGACATGTTCATCTAAACAATTTTGACTTTTCTTAAATATCCAGCTGTCCATGAAGGTAGGAATATAGGGGGGTGCGTCACGTTATTTTTTTTTATCTGCAAAATGACATTTCAATAAGGGCTAAGTAGCCTGGCTTTCTGGAAGGGAACAGGTGAGAATGAAAGAAAGAGAACAAGGTTGGTTGAGCACAGACGAGCACAGAGGATGGCGAACTTGAAAATATCGCTTTTCAAAGTATTTCAATCACAAATGAATAAAGGTGGTAAAGAGAAACTACGGTGCTTGGTATTATCAACTGAGTTGATAACGTAAATTGGCCACCGTGAAGAGTTTTTAAGCTGACGCTTCGAGCGTCAGAGCGAATGGCATATATTTTGTGAGCAGCTATCTTCACGTAGTTCATGGCCTTAAATTTTACTATAGTTTCATCTTTTTATTACGCTTCTTTTACAAGGTATTAACAAATTATTGAGGCCTTTTTCACATCCTGAGAGCTAAACAAATTTTGTCGTTTAGAAATGACTATTTGTATGAGAAGCCTGAGGCGAAAGTGAAACACTGAGACAGAAAGGTTTTTTTTCATTACCAAGGACCAGTATGTCTTCACGGCGCTGTCTTTACTGGTCTAAAAACTGACTAAATTGCCTTTAATTTTCGAGATCTAGATATTTACCAATGAGCTACAGAAAATCCTATTCACAATAATATATATTACCAATGCGATATATTTAGAGTAACGTTAACCCTTTACCTCCCATGAGTGACCAAGAGGGAATTTCTCCTTACAATATCAATACAATATGAAGCATAGAGGTGATTAGAATAGAGTAAAATATCAATTAGGGGATTATCAGTTGATCCAATAACAAATTCTCCGAATTGACATCATAAGAATTGTATGTCAGACAGTAAATGAGATCTTGAGAGTTAAAGGGTTAAGATTCGTAAAGAATCAAGAGATCATAAGGTCCCTTAATGATCATTTTATACAGAGGGGTTTCTTTTGGACTCCTTTACGATATAGAATATTTTCCTCTTATTTCGGGGCTGTTCTCTGAATGTAAGTTCTTGTGTATCCATCCCGTACATCGATGATAGTGTGATGCAACTTTTATCCCAAGGACATCAAGAACTGAGTCCAATGGGGATAGCTAGAGATGTCTCTTCGAGGATGGATAACAGCTACATTGGTAATTAAGCCAAGTAAAGTTGAATTTCCAACGATAACTATCTTTTTCACTCTATACGAATTTCATACTTAAAGGAAATATAAGAACGGTCTTGCCGGTCGTCGGTAAGCGTTCTTCAAGTGCAGTACTGCATAAAGAAAACTCAATTTCAGGGTCGCTTTATGAGTGGAGAATAGTGTGGGAGTTCAGTCTTCCTTGCTTTCATCCTAAAAGTGGGGAGTGTGCTGTCCCCCAAACTGAGTGCCGTTTACTGAAGAAGACATAGCTGCCAGCTGCGCTTGCAGTTTACCGACTTCGTTCACCAGTTGACTCACTTTATCTTCAATATCTTTAAGGTGTCCTTTGGAATTATGCACTTTCACTTCTTTCAAGTCGATTTCACCTGGAAAAGGAAAGGAAAGGATTTGAATGATTCAGAATAAATTCAGCTTCTCATATATTGTCTGACCAACAGATGGAACCACATTGTACCTAAAAATACATCGAATCATTAAGTGAGGCTGTTTCTCAGTGATAAGTAGGATAACCATTAAGATCTGTTGAGCCTACAGTCCCTACCGGTCAGGAAAAATGGACCATAGGTAGATCCACAGGTAGTACATGGGTAGATCCACTACCAATGGACTAAGCTATAGTAGATACATACATATATATACACACATATACGTTTACACATATATATACATTGCATATACATATTAGACACATATATACATATATATGTACATGCATACATATAATTTATTTACATACATATATTTTTTAATAGATATATATATATCCATTTTCAAAAACGTTGCAATTTGAAAATACATATTGAATATATGTACCTTTTCTCTTCCATCTAGGAGAGATGAGAAGAGAAAAGGTATATATATTCAATATATATTTTCAAATATATATATATATATTTTTTCAAATATATATATGTGTATATATACATATATATGATCGCGTAAGCGGGAAACTCAGAGTCACAGAAAAGTTGTCTTATTAATTAGTTCAACCTTCAAATATACATACATATATATATATATATATATATATATATACATTTGACATTGTTTTGTTTTTGTTAACGTTTTTATGTCTCGAAGATATTAGCTAATTCTATGTAGCTACTCTCAAATTATAAAACTCATTCGAGAGGAAATAAAGGTCACATATATGTTTAAGTTTTTTTTGCCTTTATGTATGTATGCAGAGGAAGTTCGTTTTTCTCTTGCAAAAAAAGGGATTATATTGAACAACCAAAAAAATGTTTCGTTCTAGTTTCTGCTAATACCTGCAACGTTCTTCACTTTTTTGTTTCTCCTCTTGATGATTCTGATCACAACTTCTGCCACAAGCCCAATGGATAAAAGACCAAGGAACACGCCCATGATGATTAACAGGAACTTGCGAGTGCACGGATTTTCACCAGAGAACGGGCTAATGGCGTCGCTATCGGCGTTATACGCCTGAAAAACAAATATGCAGTTATTTCAAGAGTAACGGTAGACGCGTCGGTGGATGCAGTGCATGGCCTGACGGACTGTCCGATAGACTCTGGTTCGAGAGATCTGGGTTCGAGACCTGGCTGGGTCATTGTGTTGTGTTTTTAGGCAAGACAGGCTTTGTTCTCACAGTGCCCCCCTCTATCCGGGAGTATAAGCAGGTAGCGGCGAAATGCCAGGGAGGCCTGAAGAAATGTAGAGAGGTAACGATGGGCTAGAATACCATCCAAGGGAAGCAATACTCCTAGGTGGTCACTTCACGCTTCTTTAAACCGGAATAAGGTCCGGCCAGTTGAGCCAATCGGCTCGTTGGCTTATTTTATCAATACCTTTTCACATTTTCAGATACGAATCCTTTGCTCTTTGCCTTAGATGCCGCACTCAAATTGGGCGTGCCTTAAACCACCATAAAAATTACTGAGGTATGAACGATGCCTACCACAACTGGCTTTAGGTACTTCATAAGGTAGCTGTCCACAAAACTTTTCTGAAGGAGATTACGAGCGCAAGTCTCCCTTTCAAATGCATCTCTGAAGAGTGGGCTATCGCGATATGCCAGTTCATAAGGAATTTTCTCTTCGTAGTCTTTAAATACTTTGAAATTTGAGTCATTCTGCTTGTAGAGCATGTAGGAAGCCATGTACTTGTCCATGAAAATGCCTTCTATTTCATTTTTCCGAAGGGCACTCAGCAAGGCTTGTTTTGATGCAAACTCTAAAAAGGAATTCGTTTCGTGGTGATCACTTGTATTCTGATCTTCCAGTAGAGAGCAGTACAGTAGAACCCCGTTAACTCGAACAAAATGCGATTTCCTCAGGATTTGAACCAATATATCAAGTCAATTAGTATCAGCTAATTGAACTCGGTTGCGTGACCCGAGCTATTTAACTCTCCCTTGGCTCAAATGTACCCTGATAACTCGAAATTTAACTAGAAACGTCGGTCAACAAACGTCAAAGTGTTCCAATCTTAATTTGATCGCGATTGAACCAAACATGAAAACATTTATGAAAAAGTGTTATATTTAGCTAAACTTCCCAAACTTAACGTTCTTATCAAAAAGCTCCCACATAAAACAAACTTAATGTGCGAATATGAATGTAGATTGTGTAAGAATAGAAAAAACATGACTTTCTATTAGTCATTACACCCTGTAATAGGAAAATTGAAATTCAGCACCAATCCCGATTAATCGAAACCCCTTAACTTGAACCATTATTATTGTTTCCCTTACGAGTCCGAGTTATCGGAGCTCCACTGTTCTGTAAACGACAACCTGAGCGGGTTATTATCAGATTCAACTTCACAGTAGTTGCCGCTATCATGGTTTGTACAGCTAACTGCAGCCAACAGCATCACTGACCTAGCGATTAGTTTCACGAACCAAAATCGGCCCTTCAATGGCAAACAGTTTCCAACTTGAATCTGATGATGACTTTCGCTCAGGTTGTCAAAACGTCAGTCACTTTCATTTTCAGAATTCTTCCACCTAGACGATCAGACGACAAGATCCAGTAAGTTTTACTTCTGGTCAAAAACCATTTATACTACGGTGCCGGTGCTGTTGGGGATTTCCTGAACCATGGATGTTACTTTTCTCCTTGATTGGAGACTGAAAAATTTTTTTTATTTGTATTCTTTGGATCTCGTGATAACCTGATACTCAGTATAGCTTGGGAGGTTTTTTGTTTGTTTGCGTTTTCGTTTCCCTTTTTATTACTGCGCATTGTCCTGAAAGAGAGGCCCCTCCTCCCTTGTCGAAAATGGTTTTAAAAACTTATTGTTTGCATATTAAGACAAAAATAACCCAGCTTGCCGACTCACCTTTCACCTCCTTGGCTCCTAGTTTATTCGCTTCTAATCTCGCTGTTGTATTACTCATTACGCCAATCTGAGAAGGAAATGAAAATACATCAATAACACACGTTTCTTAACTTACCTTCATCTCCCTCGCTGCTTTTACTTCTTCACAACAACAGTTTTACCACTTAAATGTCTCGTCAAGCCACCGGGAGCAAAAGATTGGTATTTGGTTCATCTTCCATCTTAATTAATCTTAAAATACGGTGCGACTCGATCGTGTTGATCGATCCTCAGTACATGCGATCACGTTACACGTCTGTTAAAATTTCGTCTACAAGGCCAAAACTGCATAGTGTAGTTGCGAGGGGCTCATTGTAATAAATAATCAGAGCAGAGAGAGAAAGTGCCTCGTATTGTGAGTAGTTCGCCCATCGACCACTGTCGGGGCACATGGCGGATAGAATCTCGAAAGAGGCCTAACACGACCACTCCTATTCACAGTCAATCGAGACGATGAAGTCACGTTGCAGTAACACGATTAATTTCGTTGGCAGTGCAAACCTTTACTTCCTATTTTTAACCAATCACTTCAACATTGTATAGGACTATCAAAACTCGATCTAGCATCCTCTCAGCGAATCAGGTGCAAGACCAAGCTAATTACAACCTGGTCAATTGGGTTTTTACGTCATAATGATAGGACTGTTACATTTATATATTTTTCTAGTAAAGAATGTGTTTTGGTTTACTCTTTGTCCTGTCACCCGTGCCAAGGAATCGACATCGATACTGAAAGCACTTGTAGCTGTGGCTGTGAACATTGCTATGACAACCAAGCCAAGTAAGATCCAAAGCACGCCAAACATACGGCCCAAAACAAACTTTGGGGTTTTGTCTCCGTACCTGTAATGCGATCAATGAATTAAGGTCGTTCTAATTCAATTTAGACTGTGTTGAAAATGGTAACAAATCTATTATCATTTTTTAATTTTTTATCAGGCAGCAGCAAATACCTTGTCTCCCTGGAACTCAAACAGTCTGTTTCTCTTTCCTTACTCAGCGAAAATTTGACGATAAGAAATTGGCACAGGGGGAGATTAGGGCGAGACAACGGCTTCTCACTTGCAAGTTTTCATCTCTTCTTGAACCAGTTCACTCTCGTCAATATATAACAATGAAGCGTTACCTTACCCTGTACACCCGAGAGATCGTAAGAGAAAAAACCTAGTTCTAGTGTTCTATTTGTACCCCCATCCATTCCAAAAACCCTTTTAAAGTTGTAAAAATCTTACCCTACGGTCGTCATGGAGACAAAGGCCCACCAAAATCCCTCGTATGTCCCCTTTGTAAAAGAACGGGGGAATTCCTCTTCATTGAAATAAGTTTCCTGAAACAGAGAAAACCATTTATATAATTTTGTCCTGGTAATTCTCTTTTTTGTATCAAAGAGATATCTACCCTTGCAATTAGCTAGGAACATTTCCAAAGAACGAAAATTGAACATCCTAGGGTAGATTTACGTTAATTGTAAACTTGGAAGTCTAAGATTTCAAGTTAAACTTAAAAACTGCGGTTTATTCTCGTTTTGTATTAAACTTGGCCAAACTTTAACAATTTAGGGATACAAATCGCTTCATTTGAAGGATCCACCTCACAGAATGTAAATCTCGGAAGACGTACTAAAAACTAAATTCAGTTTCCAATTGTCAGGAATTCTGTACAACAATACCCATCCTTGAGATCCTTTTGCTAACGTGGTGTATCATCGCCTCTCACGACTCTTAAGCCTTCAAAGGTCCCTTGATTACATTCAACACCCACAGCAATAGAAAGCCATATAGAGAATTTTCATACTTAAACTGGAAAAAGAAAATCTGATAACTCTATAATTATCATAGATCATAGCCCACCCTTTAATTTTTGTGCGATTCTATCGGCTAATTTATGTCACATGATGCAAAATCTCTGGACATTTATCACGAAATAACCCCCGTCTACGTCAAAATCTGTCCAGGAATTATTTCCAGCGAAAAGAAACAAAAGCAAGTGGGGGAAAAGCCAGCACCAGAGTTCACGAACTCGCTATACTGTGAAATTAAAAAGCTGATCACAAATGCTGCTACGAAATGAACAAAGAAGTAGCAAAACAAACCTTTATGTAAGCCTTCTGGTTTACTAATACGTCGGCTGATGATTTCTTCGGCTGTGAGATTGTCCCCGAAATTTCGCATTTGCCTTCAAAGCTTTGCTTCTTGGCCAAATATTCGGTATCTCTCGGACAATATCTCAGCTGCGGACTTATCAGTCGATGTACCAGCCGCCTGAAGGGATTCATTTATTTAATAACTGATATCTTACCAAAGCCCACACACATATTCCTGAGATGCCCGCTATAAGAAGTGTGAAGATGACAATAGGCCACACACTCTCACCCAGCGTCTTGAAGACGATTGAATTGGCTTTACTATTGAAATTTTTCACGTCCAGGATCAGAGAATACCATGGGGTTTTCATGAACTCCACAAAACGAAAACGTGACCCATTATAGTCGTCACTAGTCAAAAACATCTTTAGAGGTCGCATGATTGGAAATGCAATATCCGAGTTATTCTCTTTCATACTTACTACAAAACTCGCTGTCGAGTTAAACACCGTTATTTTAAAAGATTCTGGGGATATTTGGCACTGTTCAACGAAGCATTTCTCAATAATTTCGCCCAAAAAGTCACCCAAAATTCCTTTAAAGTTTTGGTCTCGATAGTCAGTGGTCATCGGAGGATGGACAAGAACTGATAAGCTTGCTCCATTTAGTAGACATTCATTTCGCGGTGCATTCGGGGTATTTTGATTCATGTAGACTGGTTTCCAGATTAACACGACCATCGTTATGAAGGCGAAGGTACGTTGTACTTTAAAATTCATCTTGTGCTCCTTGAAAGCTTATTCTTGAATCTGCAAGGGAAACGTACCCATTTACTGATTTAATTCGTTAGGATTTGATATTTTGTTAGTATCTGAGAAACTGTACATTTACCCCTCTCCAAACAAATAACCTTCAACTGATAAGTTAGGGTTAATGTTAGGTTAAGGGAGGGGTAGGTGCGAAGTTTCTCAGATACTGACTTCCTTAGTGATCTGTATGTTTGTGCACATTAATGTCTCGTGTTCATTGGTACAACAGCGAAGAAATGTAAAATGATTTCCTGTTTGGGAGGTTGGGAGAACACGAGATAAGCGTAGGAAACAACGACGCGAAGCGGAGTGGTTTCCAGCTTATCGAGTGTTCTCCCAACCTCCCAAGGGTTTACATCAGACTATGTAAACACGGAAACCATTTTACATTCTTTTATAAAATAACTAATGAAAGAGGAACGAAAACCGTGTTTATACGCTCATGTAAAATGGTTTTATGGCCAATCAGAGCGCGCGTACTATTTGAATTATTTTATAAAACTGAATTGGCACCCGGAATAAGTTGGAATCGATGAATCTTTTAACGGATTTGTATGTGTCCTCCGCCGTGTGAAAGCGAGTCAGAATTGTTTTTCACTCACTGAATTTCAATTGCCAATGAATTTCGCACGCTACAATTTTCACCATAATGGTGCCATCATTTTCTTTTGCTGAAATAAAGTATTGCGGTAAAATTCATCCAGTTGAATGAAAACAATATTTGCCTCAGCGTCATTAAAGTGGTGGATAATTTTAAATGTAGCCTTAATGACTGACTATTGACTGCGTAGAAGAAATTGTCCTTTAGATTAATATGCATTTTACTCTGAATCATCTTTAAAGAGTTTCTAGCAAAATATCTCTCTTCAAATACGTGTAATACTAAAAAGGAGACAAATATTAACTTGAATCATGAGTCCATATACCCAACATTACTCTTCTACCAGCCATTAATTTCCTTTTTCAAAACAGGTAGAAGTTTTATTGGGAGCCATAAAAAAAGGTAAACATTTCATGTGAGGTCCTTAGAGAGCTTTAAAAGCCTCAAGGTAAATAATAAATTAGCCAGAAAAAAAAATCAAACAACTTCCTCTTTTCAATATTACTCATCTAGCTAACTTACACTAAGTTCCTTCGAGTGACATTCCTGCAGGCAAATGCAACTAATTGTGCAAAGGTAGTCGTACACTATAAGGGCAGAGTTGATATACTTATCTTGTAAGGTTACAGTGCTTGATTAAACTACTTTTAAAACATCAGTGTGGCATCAGAAGGCCCATCAATTTCAAAAACTCTCACTTTCCTTTTTCAAAACAGGAAGAAGTTTCATTGAAAGCCAAAAAAATGGTAAACTTTTCATGTGCGTTCTTTAGAGAGCTCTAAATAATCAATAAATAATAATTAATAAATAGGTAAATAATTGATTAACCACACACACACACACCAAAAAAACAGAGCAAAACAAAAAAACAAACAAAAAAAAAACAAAAAATCAAACAGCTTCCTCTTGCCAAAATTACATGCCTAGCTGACTTGCACTAAGTTCCTTCGAGTGACATTTCTGTATGCAAATACGTATAATTGTGCAGTGGTTAAAAGTAGCCCTACATTAAAGGGGTAGCGTTGATATACTTATCTTTTAAGGAATAGTGCTTGGTTAAACTACTCTTAAAACATCGGAGTTCGGCATCCGAAGGCCCTAAGGTTCAGTTCCTCATCGGAACTCAGAATTTTTCGCTATCCCAAGCTTGTGACAATACCAAAAGTATTTTTTTTCCCTTGAATTAAATTCATGACAGTTTGGGAGCATCGGTTTACGAAAAGTAACTGGATAATAATCATTGCCATTGTAATGGGCTCTAATAGAGACCACGAATTATTATTTTTCGTTTGTTCTTGAGTAATTTTAACTGCAGGTAAACACTTGTCATGACGAAGGAGAAAAACTTTAGCAAACCAAGTGCAATTTGACCAATTCAGGTACAATTTTAAACAGATGGAATCATATTGTTTTCATGCCAACTGTCAATTTGATGATAAATTGTACAAGCTATCACCTCATCGAGAATCTATTGTTTTAATAGCTAACTGCTAAAAGGATAATATCTCATAAGGCTATGGAAAAGCTTTCATAGTTCCAAGACAGACACTTTTTTAATGGCGTGTAATGTATAAAGGAGAAGTGAAGCCGAACACTGCCTTTCATATCTGCTCGCCTCTGTGATAAATATTTCAAGACTTTCAAGTCTTCAGCAATTGCTAAGTTAGGTAACCACTCGCTCAATGTCTTAATGACTTGTTGTTTCGGCAAATCATTAATAAAGTTAGATAACAACGACAAATATATCTAACCAATTTTAAAATACACCCCTACAAGAACTTCTTTCTTTATCTAGAATTTATAGAAACATGTACAAACTGATTTCAGCGTTTACTTACTTCATAACACTACAAATAACCCACGCAGAAAAATCATTGGCTCATAGGACTTAATCCCTAATGTAATGTTCCGAGTTGAATCGCTCTATATCCACAACATCGATGTTTATAGCATAGGCATCCTCTACCATAAGTCACATGGCCAAACGAAATGGTGTTAAAATCTCATGCAACTTATTAGTTCAAAGTGATATATATATATATATATGAGCTATTTCAAAAACTTTCAAATTTTATAACAACGTACATCACGTTAGAGAATATGCTCAATTTCAAGATACATATTCCAGACTAGGACACCGTTCGGTTTTGTTTTCACGTTCGATTGGCGAACTTACCTCGTGGTGGGCAAAACAAGTGTTGAAATCTTCTTTGAAACATTAACTGCAGGCTTCGCTTGTTTCAAGAGCTGAGCACACGAAATGTTTTGCGCTGCCACGCAACAGCTTTGTCAACCTCTCGAAAACGGTCGGTTTCCTACTGATGCTATTATCTTCTCAAACACAAATATTTGAAGGAAAAACGATTTCTTCGAAGCCGGTGATAAAACAGACAATCTTGCAAACATTAGAGTAACTGCTGCCTGTTTTTCAATTCATTATTCCATTGCATTTCATGTCTGCTTTTAAATCTGTTGCTTTGTGTAATGACACGGTACAAATTTATCCCACAATAATTTGCAAATCAATCAGCCCCATCTTAAATACAATTTCACCTGCCCAGAAAAAAAGTTTTCATATTCAAATGCTGCAGGAACACGATTTCAAATGTCAAGTGCCGTAAAAATTGTGTCCATGGCATAGCTTTTATTTTTACAGAACTAAAAAATAATTTCAGAGCCTGTTTATTTTCAATTC